AGTCCAAAAAATAATTTTAACTACTCCACCTAGGCTTAGCCCTGGTCTCTGAGCTATTGTCAGAAAATTCTAAGATTTAGGAGACAGGGTTCTATTTCTGTCTCTTGCTGGTTCTGAAACCTTAAATAAGCCACTTACCCTCTGTGACCCTTGTCAAATGGATGCAATTATACATGTCTCCCCAGTTGAAACCTTGAAGACAAAGTGACCCCTAAGATTCATAAAAGCTATTTAAGGTAGTGGAGGTAAGACAGAAGCTGCCAGAAGAGACGAGTAAGAGATGGACAACTGTTGGGAGCACAGCACGAAGGTCCTTGAAGCCCACGGATCTCCAGAGAAACCAGGACTGTTATGCACACAGGATTGTCTTTCCAATGGAACAGATGAGAAACTCAGAAAGCTGAGAACTGGAAGTGACTAACAGTCTGTTGTTCTAGGCCATAGCAAGCTCTTACAACCAGAACTGAAGATGGCTAGTGATCTAAATGACCCTTATAGACAGAAGCTCCCCCAAGCTCCCACAATCAGAACCAGAGGTGGCCAATGGCCCAAATGACCTCTACACTATCTGTGTTACTGAGACCAGGCCAGACCCTTAGGCCCTTAAGCTAGTACAGGTAGCCTAGCTCTGGAACCCATCTTCTTGGAAGAAATGACATGTACCCTGAGTTGAGTTTTGATATAATTGTTCTTCCTTGTGTGATGAGGATTGTATTACATCAGGAAACTTTTTTCAAATTATACTGGGCTTCAATGCATTGGGAATAAAACACCTATTATTAGACTTCACGAAGTCTGATCCAGGTTGACGAAGTCAATCTGAAACAGGTTTTTATTCTTATCTCTTCATGTAGTTCATTTCTCTGTGTGACACCTGCAGGGACCCCCTCAAACAAAGGATGGATCCCAACAGAAAGAATTCAGGGGGGGTGTCAAGGATTTGGGTCTGAAGGGAGAAACATTGGGACCATAAGAGAAATGACAATGATATGAAATGGGTCCAGGCACCCAACAGATGTGAGAAGAGAAAAAGAGCATCAATCTCTCTGTCCAGGGATGAAGGATGTATTAAGATAGAGGATGTTCAAAGTATACTATACAGAGAAGACAAAAACACTAATTTACATCCACACCTGAGTTATTAACTATAAATCACTGGAAGCAGCAAGTCTAGCGTGACCTTTAGATCTGAAAGGAAACGGGAATTACCAGAAGAAAAAAGACCAGATCTATGGGAAAATCTCATAGTGATATGGCCATGTATACAGAAAGCCAAGGGGTCTCCTCTCACACTCAGGGAGGAAAACCCTGCACAGATGTGCTGTGGCTTCCCTTAGGAGCTTCTGATGTCTCAGGTCCAGAAAGAGTCATGGCGGCGGGGAAGGCGTGTCTATGGGCCACGGATTTCCTGGCAGATACTTTCCTTCAGCTCATTTCAAGTCAATAAAACCTGCTAGGTACTGCGCTCTGAAGATGAGCCAGGCACTGTGCCTGCCACAGTGCCAGAGGCGTGACGATCAGTCACTAGGAAGCAAGAGTTGAGACATGCTTTAGGAAAGGATGTTGTAAATGGAGTTTAAGAAGTCACCTGAGAGTCACATGCAGTCAAAAAACAAAACAAAACTGTGGTGACTGTGGAGACCAATAACCCATGTCCAAAACGTGAATAAAACACCTAAATTACATCTTTTATCATGTAATGTCAAACATCCTCAAAGCTGGGGTCAATACAGCTATTGAATCTGTATGTGTTCATTACAGAGCTTGACAATGTGACCAATACTGTTTAGCCGCGACATAGTTCCTTCCCTCCCTCCCCTCTCTCCTCCTGGGGTATTTCAGAGCATGGTCCAAATATGCAATTTCCTCTAGAAATGTTTCAGCATATTCTTTCTAGAAGATGAGCGCCTCCTCCCTTTCTCTCTTCTCTCTTCCTTTCTCCCCATTTCTTTGTCTCTTCCCTGATGCTTGGACAGACTTTTCCCAAATACAGGGGAATAAAAGAGTGTTTCTGTAAGCCACCAGGAACCTTTGACCATAAAATGAAAATTGTCATTGCTACGCTGGCCACAGGAGCCAAAGCAAACAGAAAGACACACAGCTGAGCCCGTGAAACTGGAGATGCCAAGGGGAGAATACAGAGGAGGAGGTGGCTCTCAGACGGAAGGAGGAGCGGAAGGAGCAGCAGAGTAAGCAAGAGGTCGCAGCGAGTTAACCAGGGGGATAGAAAGAAAGTGCTGGAGAAAAACAAACCCTTACTGAGGAAAATGATCTAAGAACCACCTCTGAGGCTACTCAGAAACCTAGAACAAGAACCACAGTAAGTTAATGAACGGCAAATAAAACTGCCTTTACTCTACAGACACCCCCAAGGCTCTCTGTATGAGCTGCGTTCTTCAGAAGGACCCAAAGGCAAGCCTTGCATTTGGTGCATATGGTGCATGTAGCATCAGCTGGTGCCACTGCCCCCTTCTGACTAGATAAGATTACCTCAGATCTACCCCTGTGGTCCCCCACACCCGTCCCATCTGCAGTGGGAGCTCAAACTGTCCTCAAGATGGCTGCCAATTCCCGGTGGCTGCACTGTCCTAGTCGCCTCTGATTTCTGATAAATTCGTTCATTGCTTCCTGTCCCCATCCACCACCTTGATCTGGAAACCCATCTTTTCATGCTGGCTGTCCCCCAACTCAGCCACTCAGCTATTCCTTGGATACTTCAGGGAGTCGGTTTACCCCAAAATAGCTTCCCAGCCCCAACAAGTTTGACATCAACTGTCAGCATTGCATCCAAATATGATAGAATGGCTAAATGATGAAAAATTCATTAGAAAAAGTGAAGTGGCAGAACCTGAACAAAGGGAAGCGAGCAGTCAGAAGAAAACGCGGGAAACATTCAAGGAAATACCAAAGGCCTGACAGGGAAACAAGCCGGAAGGTCACACGAGTCTCTGAGGTTCGGTGGGGGCAGTTTCTCTGGGAATGCCTTAGTCCTAAATCCACAGCTGTCTCTCCCATCCCATAAGAACAAAAGCTAGAGAAGAAGCCAAGAATCTCCAAATAGACAGGGTCTGGTATAATTTTGACAAGAAACAGAACTGAATTTGAAGAAAGAAATCTTTGAGAGAAAAGACTGGGTGGGGAAATAACCAAATTCCCCCACAGGGCAAGAGCTGTGTAAGTTCAGGCTTTCAGGGTTTTGTTTAAAAAGAGCAGGGTAAGAGTTGAAAGACCATGAAAGTGAACAGGAGTGGGAAAAAAGATCAATGCGCTGATGTGAGCCCTCAAAGGGCCATTGGAAAGTTAAAGGGGAGGTTTGAACAGGATTCCTTGCCTGGGCACCTCGAAAGGCATGAGCTGGGGAGAGGGAGACAAAAGGTGGTCTCTGCATTAAAGGGGACAGCATCAGACTCCAAGGTATAGCGACAGATTGTAATGTTTCCCACATAAGGGCTCCCGAAACAATCAGTAATTATAACAACATATTTTGGGTGACCCAGACGCCCATCCAATAAGCCAGAATGACACTGGACCTCAGGTACAAATTGGTTCTGGAGCTGTCAAGCCCACTGGGTACAACAAGCCGCTATTGTGATTACCAGAAACTGATGAGAAAAGACCCAGCACATCTTCCTCACGAGCAAATTTCACAAGGCTTTGAATATGAAACATGAGACTTGAGTCATCATAACCTTGCTAAAGTCAAGAAATGACCCACAGTAGGCAGCATCTTATCTGTCATTTATTATAAATAAAATTACTTCGGTAATTCTTCATTCTTAGTACTTAATTCTTTTCCTTTCCTTCTTTAAGAAGGGTCCATTAGTTACTCAAGGACGGAATGACTAGAAAAAATAAATGTGGTAAAGCACCCATCTGTAACCCCAGAATTCAAGAGGTGCAGGAGGAGGATGGCAAATTCAAAGCCAGTCTGGGCTACATAGCCAGACCTTTGCTCAAAAAGTGAAATACAAAATAACAACAAAAGGTGCCATTTAGGAGAGTAGATGTAAAGCAAAAGATTGTGTCGCTCCTGTTTATGCAAGAGCAGGGTCGAAATTAATTCCTTAAAGCATAGAAAATTGAGAAAGGATGTGGAGAAGAGAAGTCCTTCTCTCCTTTAAAGACTGCCGAATAATGAAACATTTTTAGTGTCATAAAGAGAGCTTTCCAAAGGACTCTAGCCAGGGGCTTTCACGAATAAAACAGATATTGCTGCGAATGCGTTTAAGGGGAAGCGCGGAGACAGAAAATGAAGGTGATGACCCTGGGGCAGAAATAGCAAAATCAAAGAGCAGATGCAAACAGATCCGGGAAACGAGAGCAGAAAAAGGTCACTCCGGAACAAAACCATCCCCTCTGACAGCTGAGGCCCAGGAGACCGTTGCATGGATACGACAGGCAGAATAAGGAGACATCCAAAGGCAGAGATAATGGAAGGTTTAACTGAAGGCCTCGAGTGCAAGCCAGCCGAGTGCTGAGCTTGGCTGTGGGCTGACAAGAAGCAAGCAGCCTGACGGCCGGACGGCCGGTCAAGTGGTCCTGATCCAGCTGGCTTTCAAAGCAGGGCATGCTCCCAGGTCTGCAGGTGTCATGTTTGGCTGAATGCAGACATTGGAAAGAAAGGCAAAGTGTCCTGGTGAGGGGACATATGGAACTGGTGATAATGTTTCCAAAGAGAGGAAAGGCCCATACTATGTTTTTTATTCTTTATTGGTTGATTGATAATTTCACACATGTAGACATATCCATACCTTCCCCTAGTCCCTTGTCCCGATGCCCAGCCTCCCCGCAAACATCCCCCCTCCCACCGTCATATCTTATTTTTAACCCACTGAATCAAATTCATGCTGGCTGCAGATACAGGAGACTGGAGGCCGGCCATCCTACAGCAGGCACACCTCCAGAAGCAAATAACTCCCTCACCTCAGGATAGTTAACTGCCGACCGAGGTGGGGCCTCACGGGCCCTCCCCCACCCCAGAGACTGTTGATGGGCCCTACCTTGTGCAGGTAACCACAGATGACTCTGCGCTCCTGCGTGCAATGGCGTGGCATGTCCGGAAACCATTCACAGCACTCCTCCCCAGCCAGCTCTACTTTCTCTCCATCCTTCTTCCACAGCGTACCCTGAGCCCCGGGGGCCTGGATATAGGGACCCCACTTAGGACTGGGCCATCAACTGTCACGTCTCACACTCTAACCAGTCTCTACATTAACGGTTGCCCACAACACTAAGAAACTTAGTGTCCCGCCCACCCCTCTCTCTCTCTTTGGTTTGGAGGATATAGGATGTGCCTAAGACATGTTGGAAAATTACTGTGGGCCAGAGGCTCCCCACTAGATCTGATCGCTAACATTTCCCGTACCCCGTTTTAATGCTGAAGGGATTGCTCGAAGGACCTATGACTTAAAACAGCCACGCCTGGGGGCTTTTACTTTTGCTCTTTTTCTGTGACTGGAAATCTCCCCACTACTTTTCTAAATTATATTTTCACCGAGGTAGTCATGGTAACATTACATATAACATTTAAAAACCAGCAACTGACAAGATATGAAAACCGGTGCGCCAATGTCCGCAATAGCGCTATTCATCATGACACCAAATCGGAAAGATCTCGTACGTCCATCAAGCGATGAATGTGTAAATGAGACTGTAGTCTCTCCTTGCAGTGGAATGTTATTTGACAATGAAAACCAGTGAAGAGTTTGGGGATAGGCTTGCTTAGTATACACAGGACCCCACGTATGATCCCAGCACCAAATGAACAAATCAAAAGAAAACTGAAGTACCGACATGTACAGATGATGTTGTTGCCCACGGGATGCCAGCCACAAAGAGCCATGCATTACGTCTAAACCAGATGTCCACAACAGGCAGATCCACAGAAGCAGGAAACAAGTGAGTAGTGGCTGGGGGCGGGGTGGAAGTGGTAGGTACCATTTTTAGACCTAAGCAGCAAGGGGTATCTTTGGGGATGTCGAGGATATTCTCAAATTGATAGGATTAGCAGATGTACAAGTCTGTGAAAACTTACCAATTTTATTAATTAGATTATATTCTTTTTTAAAAAAACTGTTCCATTTATTTGCGGGGGGGGGGGGGGAGGAACGGTACACATGTTCCAGCGCACACATGGAAGTCAGAGGACTACTTTCAGGAGTCACTTCTCTCCGTCCACCTTTGGGTCCCAGGGATCAAATTCAGGTTGTCAGGCTTGGTCGCAGGCTCTTTCATCCACTCAGCCATCTCCTCAGCCCGAAAATTATTTTGTTTTTGTTTCAGAGATGCTGAGGTCAATTCCTAGCACCCACATGGTGCCTCACAGCTGGCTCTAACTCCACTTCCAGGGATACGGCGCCCTCTTCTGGCCTCTACAGGCACTGCATGATATGGTGTCTACTCGCATGCAGGCAAAACATTTATACTCATATAAAAATAAATATTTTTTTTAATTGGCGAGGGGCTGCAGTGCAGATGGGAGACCATGAGTTTGTTGCCAAGCAGGGTTTGCCTATAATCCCAGTTACCTGAGAGACCAAAAGGTCAAGTGTGGCCTGGATAACTTGGTGGGATTCTGCCTCAAAATGAATGCTCTTAAAAGCTAGGGATATGGCTTTGTTTTAGAGTTCTTGCCTCAACCAGCATTAAATCTCCAATATCTTTTTTTAAAAAATCGAAAGAAAGTTGAACAAATAAACATCATGATTTTCCTCCAAGTGTCGAAATTAGCTCAAAACTCTAATCTCCGTCCACAAAGACCTGACTAATGAGGGCAAAGCACGTCCCCCACCAGTCTGGCCAAGTTCAGGTTTGTTCTGAGGAGAACAGAGAGCAGAGGGAGTGGGCAGAAACAGAGTCAGAGGGGAAAGCCAGTGCAGGTCACAAGTCCAGCCTGGCTGGTTTACGTCACCCGCGCCCCAACCACGTCTCCACAGGATTGTGGAACAGTGTCCATTAACGGCAGAGCCATTTAGCCACATGGCATCTGGCACTGAAGCATCTGTGGAATGTTTCTGAAATTGTTTGAAACACCAGACAGCATAGCACTGTCTCATGGAGTCGGAGCCGCTGGGTGAGGCTCTGGGTCCTTGACGCAGCCTCGGAAGGAAAGGCACCCCTCCCTTCCCGGCTCCTTCCAGCTTCTGGCATTATCAGCTGCACATGTCTCCCCTTTCTCAAGCTCAGCCAGAGTGGGAAGAAACAGGGTCCAGACCGACCACTGACCATGGCAGTCAACAGAGGGAAACAGACGCACTTGAAACAATGCACCATTTATTTAATTACTTTTAAACAGTGTAATTGAAGAATCTCCCCCCAGTTCCATTGCAGAACTATGATGTGACTTTTCCATTTAGAACTTCAGGGAAGCTGCTGGCTTTGGGAGATGAATGGCCTAGTTTGGAGCAAAGGGAAGAAAGAGGAAAAACACCTAAGAGACGCTAACAAATGGACCCATTTGAAGACTTTAATAAGCTCCATGTGACATCTCATTGATCTCCTGACCTGTGGTAGCAGATTGCTCCGCAGCCATTTTGTACAATAGAGATGTTTCAAAGGGTCTTTCTTTGGTTTAGAAATATTTGTGTCCTAAACAAAAAGACTCTTGCCCTCAGTGCGTAACCATAAACTCTTGAAGTTGATAACTGTTCAATTGCTACATCCTTAGGAGACGCTGTGCTGCTTAAAATCGATTATCAGCTGACAGCATTGGAAGAGACTGGCCGCTAGGTGTGTCTGAGGGATCGGCTAGATCTCACCCTTCCTGAGCCGCACCATTCCATGGCCCAGGGTCCCAAACTGACTGAAAAGGAGACAGGGCGCCAACACCTGCATTCATCATCCTCCGATTCTTGACCAGTTGCCTGAGGTCTTACCATGATGACTTCCCGGCCGGGATGAACTGTATCCCCTCAAACCACGAGCCGAGATTAAACCCCTCTGCCTCAAAGTGGCTTTTTGTTAGGTGTTTCGTCACAACAACAGATACCAAACATAATCAACGTTTAGACATAGGAGAACAAGATCCCAGATGGGCCCGAGAGGCAACTGGGTCTGGAGAGAAAGAGAGGCAGATAGAATAACTCAGACAAGACAAAATGCCGGTGGGTGAGTCTGCTAAAGGGTACACGGTTCTTCTTTGTGCTTTTATTTTTATGTTTTTCTTTTAAGTTGAAATCATTTCTAAATCAGTTGTTTAAAAGGCTCTCTAGGCTAGAAACAAAGAATACTCTGATGCTTCTTAAACAGTACCATAGCACGTGAGGACTGTTACTGGCCACACCTTCCATTATCTTATTTTTCAAATGACCAACATTTTAATGTGTGTGTGTGTGTGTGTGTGTGTGTGTGTGTGTGTGTGTGTGTACATGCACACATGTGTGGATGTCAGAGGACAACTTTTTTTTGGTTTTTTGATAGGGTTTCTGTGGTGATATATTGTGTTCCCCAATATATCGTGCACCCTAATAAATTTATCTGGGCTCAGAGAACAGAACAGCCACTAGACAGACATAGAGGCCAGAAAATGGTGGCACTCACACCTTTAATCCTAGCCTTCTGGAGGCAGAGATCCATCCTCTGAGTCCTCATCCAAATGGATCTCAGCTGAACTGCTGCTAAAAGCCTAAAAGCTTAACCAGCTCTAGTTCCTGGTTTTCATGCCTTACATACCTTTCTGCCATTACTTCCTGGGATTAAAGGCGTGAGTCACCATGCCTGGCTGTTTCCAGTGTGGATGAGGACTCAGAGGCTTCCAGTCTGAGGAAACAGGATCGGCTGAGGAACTGGCAAGGTGAGGTGGCTGTGGCTTGTTCTGCTTCTCTGATCTCCCTGCATTCACCCCAATACCCAGCTCCAGGTTTGTTTCTATTAATCAGACCTTTTCAGATCCGTGCTACAGGTTTCTCTGTGTAACAGCCCTGGCTGTCCTGGAATTCTCATTGTAGACCAGGTTGGCCTCGAACTCACAGAGATCTGCCTGTCTCTGCCTCCTGGTAGAGGACAACTTTTGAGACGTGATTTTCTCCTTCAAATGTGAGTTTCAGGGATCAAATCGGGTTGTCAGGCTTGGCAGCAAGCACCTTTCCCCGCCGAACCACCGAAACAGCACGTACTTTTCATGGTCACTCTAAATTGATACTACGTGAGTCAAAATTCCAGGTATTATAAGTAACAAAGAACTGCACTCGGCCTCCACCCCATCTACTCTGGTCGTTCTCACATGCTACCAGCATCCATATTTGCTCATTTCTGATTTATTTTTCCAGTGATACTTGTACACGTGTGAGACTGCATCATCCTTCCTTTTCTTCAGAAACTGAGCACCCTGTACACAGAGCTCTGTGTGGCTTGGTCGTACAAAAAAAAGCAGCAGCAGAGCATCCTGGGCAGCTCTTTGTTTTGCGGTCACCATAGGATGCTGTCCCTGTCGGTTAGGTACAGAGATGCTACTCACAGCTTCTATCATTTACTCGGACACAATGCCCAACCCGAAACCTTAGCTGTGAATTAAATAAACTACACTGTGTACTTACACTTCACAGACGATTAGAAAAGTCACCTTCTAAGATTGTCAAAGGTCAAATTCAAAACGTCTAAACAGTTCAAAAAAAAAACTGTCTCGTTTTGTACATCAAGGAAGCATAAAACTTCAAATACTTTTCACAAAAACACACAGAGAAGATGGGTTGACCACGGTGTTTATTAACATTCCCATTATTTTTTCTTAAAATTTTAGACAATATTTGCTTGGGGCTTCTGCTCATCCTTATTCTTGGCAACAGCCTAGTACTGCTGAAGGAGATCACATTTACAAAAGGAAGGTTTCTAAATGTCAGAAATATTATCACCAAAGGAAACACTTTCATGCTGTCTGCAATACAACCTAATTCAATTCCGCAGACACTCAGGGGGGCCTTTGACAAACCACTGAGCTTCCACAGACATTGATTCTGGCCTCTAGATACTCAAACAAAATATCTTTCAGTGTGGATTACATCCTATGGCCTGCCCTGGAGCTTGGACTCACTCTGAGCAGTGGCTGCAGGAAGGATCTTGGTCAGCTTCTAGAAGGTTCGCGTAGGCTTGGATGTGAAGGATTTGATGGAAGACTAAATCTGTAAGAGGAGAACCATAGGGACGACAGAGACAGAGAGGCGTATTGGAGGAGGCATTGGGCAGTTCACACTCCAGGGCCTCAGACTACTGGCTATGGATAAGAGGAGGTCAGGAATACTTCGGGTACCCACAGAGGCTGTCTAGTGAGAACTTATTGAGGGTCAAAGAATCTGGGCTTGCTTTACCCAGCAGGGCTGCATGAGATGATTTGTCCACAGGGAGTGTTTACCAGGTGTTTGGAAGGGTCTACACTTGTGAGACACAGGACATGGTGGCTCCGTTAAATGAAGATCAGAAATGAGAAAGGAAGAGGGTGATGGTCCTGAGCTCTGTTTGGGTCTCACTGGATCCAAGAACAAACAGATGTAGATATGGCTCTGATGGACAGAGGAGAGTTCTTGTCTGAAAGACAGAATGTGAGCACAGCATTCACTTCTTACTGCTGATGTGGTGAATGGCTCCAAGCTTATTGTACTCAAATTTATCCTCTCATAGTTCCAAAAGTCACATCTAAAATCAGTCTCATTGAGCTACAGTCAGGGAATCGGCAGGACCAGCCCCTTCCAGGGGTCACTGGGGAGAATTCTGTCTTTGCATTTTACTCCTGCTAGAGCTCATCTGCATCCTGCTTCCCTGGCCCCTCTTCCATCTTCAAAGTCAGTCTCATGGTTTCTTATCCCAGCTTCACAGTGCTTTCTCCCTTTGGAATCAAGTCTTCTTCTGCCTTATGATTACTTTGGGTCCATGCAGATAATCCCAGGCTTATTCTTGTCCTAAGTCCTTAACTTGGTCACATCTGAAAGTTCCCATTTACCATATAAGGCAACATTCACAACCCTGGCTCTATTAAGGCAGAAGCAGGAAAATCACTGTGAGTTTGAGGTCAGCCTAGGATATATACAAACTCCAGGTCTGCCAGGACTGAAACCCTGTGTTTAAAAAAAAAAAAAAGAAAAAGAAAAAGAATAGCCGGGCTTGGCACTGTATGCCTTTAATCCCAGCACTTGGGAGGTAGAGGCAGGTGGATCTCTGAGTTCAAATCCAGTCTGGTCTACATAGTAAGTTCCAGGACAGCCAAGGCTACACAGAGAAAACCTATCTTGGAAAAAAAAAAATGGAAAGAGAAGTTTGAAGTGAAAATGTTTCCAAACATAATACATAAAGAACACATGAAGCCTCCAAGAGTCCACAAACAAGAAAGCACAGGAAAGGTCATACGATGCATAAACTCCTTCCCATCCCTGTCTGCAAGTGAGAACCGAATGGACAAATGGGTAAAAGCTAAAATTGGCATTCACAGAAGATGAAAAGCAAATGGCTAATGCATATTTTTATGAGAGCCCATCCTTCTGCTGGTGAGACCAACGGAAATTAAGGAGATGGGCATCTGCTGGTGTAAGGTAATGCAGAAAGAGAGAGGTTGGTGGAGGGTAAACATGCACATTCTTAGAGAGCAATCTGTAAGTGTCTGTCAACATTTCCAATGTACCATTTGATTCAGCGGTTCTCCTAAGAATACGTCTGCATACACACTCAAGAAGCTGTCAGCAGCACCTCACTTCTTCACGATTTTTCACTTCCCTAGAACGGTGGAAAGGTGGACCCAACCTGAAGATCCACTACGAGAAAAACAGTTAAACGAATTAAGCATATCATGAAATCCTGGGTCGCAGTTCATAAAAAAAGAATTAGATCTAGATGGAAGAACTTACATGAAAGTAAGTTTACAATATTTAAGTTTACAAACAAAATAGCTAAGCAGCCAATCTCATTTAGGGGAATAAAAACTGTTTCCATGTGCTAGGTAGAATAAGAATTTGATAAGTCACCAGCATGAACAGATCTCAGGTACACTGTGTTAAGTGAGAGACGCCACACTCCAAAGGCTCCAGACTATAAAATTCTATAGTGTGACCTTCCCCTCCCTGTGACAAAACACCTGAGCATATGAAGCTGTAAAGAGGAGAGATGCATTTGCTTCATGGTCTCAGAGGGCTCCATCCATGATCACTTAGATCTGTTGCCTTAGGGCCTGTGGTAGAACAGTTCATACGACAGGGTGTATGTGTGGTCCAGGAAGCTACTCACCTCCTGACCTCTGGGAAAGAGGACCGGCAGGGGTCCCAACTTCAAGGGCACGTCTCCAGTGACCTATAAAATCTAGACCATAACAGTCAGTGACTCACTGTAGAGGAAGGAACAATAACAATAACAAAAAAAAAAAATCTATACAACGGCAAACAGATAAGTGGTTGCCAGGGCCAGCATCCAGGTAGGAAGATCCAGAAGTGGTCGCAAAACAAGAATGGTTTGGAAAGTGATGGAAACTGTAACAACGGTTAGGAAACTACATAGACTTTACAGATTCACAGACTGTATGCCCCAAAAGGTGCACGCTACTAATATGAATTTTACTTCTATAGATTTTAATTTGGGGGGGGGGGGTTCGAGACAAGGTTTCTCTGTGTAGTTTTTGTGCCTCTCCTGGATCTCGCTCTGTAAACCAGGCTGGCTCTGCCTCCCAAGTGCTGGGATTAAAGGCATGCGCCACCGCCACCCGGCCAGATTTTAATTTTTTAGAAAGTTTACAGCCAGGTATGGTGGCGCTTACTTGCAATTCCGGCTGTGTAGGAGACTGAGGCTGGATAATTGAGAACTCGAGCCAAGCCTGGACTGCAAGGCAATGAGATTCCATCTCAAAAGTCAGAACGGGCATGAAAATGGATCCTTGGAAAACAGCAAGAATTTTCATGTTTCTTTTCTCTGTGACTTAATTAAGTTGCTTTTAGTAAGAATATGCTACTTTGCGATTTTCTATGGTCTTAATAAGTAAATTAATCATGGAACACTTGAACTATAGTAAAAAAAAATGAACTAATACAAAAAGCACTCAGCCACCATTCAGTAGAAAAATAAAAATTATACAATTGTTGAGTCTAATTTTAAACAACCAGTAGTCCCAAATATTTTACATTAGTATGGATTTTTTTTTTGCTAGGAGTATTTGCTTAATTTATTTGATTTCCTTTCGTATTTATTAACTAATGCTTATATAGAGGAGGGATACTGCCTGCTCTTTTTTTTTTTTTTAAATTACAAACACAGGACAAAACAACTTCAGAACATATTTAAAATGGCAAGCTGACATATTTATACATTGTTCTTATTAGCTGTTGGCAGGTTTAAGACAGACATTCAGAACTCATGATTTAGTGGAGCAACTACTGGGTGTGGCTGAACAAAGTCCTTAGTATAGCTTCCGAGCTCACGGGTCAGAAGGTGTAGGGCCTTCTGGGGGGAGAGGGGGGCTGCCAAGGCACAGCCCGTGTATTCTTTTTTTGAGAGATGTTCAGCTTCACCATGGAGGAATTCTGGACAAGTCCAATTAATAACACCGATCAACTGCTGAATTTATTAATAACAGATCAGTTTAAATATACAAGAATTGTCAGCCGGGCGGTGGTGGCGCACGCCTTTAATCCCAGCACTCGGGAGGCAGAGCCAGGCGGATCTCTGTGAGTTCGAGGCCAGCCTGGGCTACCAAGTGAGTTCCAGGAAAGGCGCAAAGCTACACAGAGAAACCCTGTCTCAAAGAAAAAAAAAAAAAAAAAAAGAATTGTCCTGTCCATTTTATTCTGATGTGGTATTGGACTCCATCTGTGAGTTCAACCCACCCCATTACAATGTCTTTCATATGAATCCTTTGGAGATGTGAAGCCTTTGATTCACAGTTTGCAGTACAAATACCCTGACATACCATTTATTTGCTATTAAGTATTTGATTATTATGCTTTTTAAAATTCAGTGTCTTTAAACCACGTTTGATTAAGCATTGCTTGGAGCAGTTCAGAGTATTACGTTGTCTTCCTCCTCCTCTTCTCCCTCCAGTCTCTCTGTTCCTAGAGCAAGCTTCTAAGGGGTGGCCACTCCTCAGGCTCTCTTTGCGTGCAGCATCTCCTTGATGAAAAGGTTATTGCAGGGTACGTCCCCGTTCACGTAGAGGTACTCTTCCGCCAGCATGCTGAGTGCCGGATTTCCGGCAGTTGAAGCAGCAGCTGTCCGAATTTCTCTGTTTGCTGGGGGTAGTTGCAAACCATGTAGTCCATCAAGGCAGTGTGCACCTGTTCCTGGACATTTTCCACAAGCTGGAAGTTCTCCAGATTCTTGACATCTAAGCTGAACAGCACTAGGAACTTCAGACATGCAAACTCTCGATGATCAAACTGTAGAGAACGAAGTCTCAGGATTAGCTCCTGCGAATGACTCAGGAGGTTGGTGAGTGTGACTCCGGCTTGTGAGGCTATGCTGGAGTAGTCGACTTGTTGCCCAGTAATCAGCAAGAGGGACCCTTCCTTCCCATGTGCCACTTGCCAGTAAATGTGATCCAGGATCAAAAGCTCACTCCAGCAGTTCTGAAGCAGCTTCATTTGGTCATCAACCTTCAGGTCTCTGAAGAAGACGCTGCTCCTGGCCCACTCAACAATGGAGAAGAGGGTCTGGTCCGCCATTTTGCACATGAGCCCAAATGTGTTCAGCTTGTCGTGCTTGCCTCGGCTCGCCTGCTCCTGCTGTAAGTAAGCTGAGATTTTCACTTGAATTTGAGTCTCATCTGGCTCACACTTGAAAAGTTCCAGTATCAGGTGCGGGATGCTGGCTGGGGAGCTTATCTGGTAACCATCCATGTAGGAGTAGCCCATCATCGACTCAGGCGAGCTGGTGTAGGGATCTGGGTACTCAGACTTGATGGCCCGGCTAGGAAAGTGACAATGTGGTTGGTAACCTTGCAGGCTGCCATGAGGTGGCATTGTCATGCTAATGGGGGAGGTGACAAAGGGACTCCTGTCATAGTCTGTGGGAGGCAAGGCAGCATGGTTCAGAGGTAAGCCTTTGGAGGCAGAAGGGATGTTCTGAATGGCAGAGGAGATGGTCAGGTCCGAGGGCATCACTTGTATCACCTGAGTCGTGGCTTCCAGCTTGAGTCCATTGGCTCGAATGAGGGCTTTCTGCTGCTGCTGCTTTAGGGCCCTGTCTCTCTTGCACATCGGCCCAAACTTATTTCTGCCTCCTCGCATGCGGTCCGCTCTTACGGCTTCTAGCCTCATTCCAACACTTAGACATTTTTGGAACCGACAGTAAGGACAACGTTTTCTCTGTGTTTTGTCAATTTGGCAGTTCTGGTTTTCTATACATGTGTACCTTTTATTGTTTTGGACTGTTCGCTTTAAAAAACCCTTGCAGCTTTCACAGGTAAGGAGACCATAATGGTACCCGGATACTTTATCGCCACACACAGGACATAGCTCTTCGAGATCTTCATCATAGGAGTAATTCACCATTTTAAATTGAGACACTTGCATGTTTTCCGGCATCTGCCCCTGTTCCCCATGTGATCGGGCCAGTCCTGGGGCTTCCGTCTCCACTTTGGGCAGCATGACAAGGCGGCTGCGGGCAGGCATGGGGAGTCGGTGTCAGTCCGGAAGCCCAGCATCTTTCTTGTCCTATGTATCTAGGTATCATCTACTTCTCAGGCCCGGGAAGAATCCTGGGTTGTTTTTGTGTGTGTGTGTGTGTGTGTTTGTGTGTGTGTGTGTATGTTTTTAAAGTCTTCTCCACCTGGCCCCAACAGTCCAAGGAAAAACAGAAACGAACCAGTATGGATTTTTTATATTGATACAAATCTAAGGTTATTTTTGTTATACTGTATATATGTTTCTACTCTTATGTAGATATTTTTGTATATTGATACAAATTTAAGGTTATTTTTGTTTAAGGTATTGTACCTATGCAGCTCATTTATAAATGTAATGTAAAGTCTTAGTCCTTGGAAGCTATTTAGGATAATAAAGAAATACAAGTTAGTAGTTAGTCACCTATAACAATCAAACTTAAAGTCATGTTAGGTATATTTTCAGAGACACATTTTATTTTATTTTATTTTTTAAAAGATTTATTTATTTATTATGTATACAGTGAGTGTTTAGCCTGCAGGCCAGAAGAGGGCACCAGATCTCATTGTAGATGGTTGTGAGCCACCATGTGGTTGCTGGGAATTGAACTCAGGACCACTGGAAGAACAGCCAGTGCTCTTAACCTCTGAGCCATCTCTCTAGCCTCAGAGACACATTTTAAATAGATAGATAGATGGTCTTCAAACACTTGAGAGACCTACAGAATATGGCATTTTAAAATTTTAATAACAAAGTTTTTCATGACAGTGAGACATATCTGTTCCTGGACACACCAATCTACTTCATAAAAGGATAATGGGCATCGAAGAACCTCCATATGGAGTTTGCTTTCTTTTTTGGTAAAACCTAGCCATTTGGACAAGAAACTTCCTTACCTCAACTGCTGACAGTATGCTGTTCAAACTGGACAAGCAGAACACACAGGAAAGTGACTACTGAACTTTGCCAAGACTAGGCAGGACATTCCTTCAAAATTTCTGCTTCACAGAAAAGTCTGTCAGGTATTCTAGGCCTGTAAGCCAAAGATGGATGCCCCAACATTGCAGAGGAATCTTGGGTCACTGTCCAGGCAGCCAGATGTCTGTCATTTTTATAGTTTTGAAAATTGCTTTCTCTGAATTTCTTGTTTGCTCAGGTAGTATTATATCCTTCTGGGGTCTTTGATGGAATTGAAGACTAGATAGTTATAGTTTTCCTTAGTTGTGATAGAAGATAAATTAGTACAAAACTTTGATTCATCAAGAGAGGATAGATAATGAAGTATTTTCTCTAAATTTGTCAAATACAAATTTGGACATTGTAAATGTAATTTTTACTTGATAATTATTCTTATTGTATATGGTTTTACTATGTTAGAGTTAAAACCTTTCCTTTTTATTTGACAAAAAGGGAGGGGAATGTTGCGGAATAATATTTTTATACATTGTTAATATGTGTTACTCTGATTGGTTTAATAAAAAGCTGAATGGCCAATAGCAGGGCAGGATTTTGGGGCAAAGAGAACAGTAGGAAGAAGAAGGGTGGATTTGCCAGTCAGATGCAGGGGAATCATGACATATAGAATATGAGGTAACAAGCCGTGAGTCAAGTAGCAGCATGTAAATTAATAGAAATGAGTTCATTTAAGTTATAAGAGCTAGTTAGAAACAAGCGTAAGCTATCAGGCAAGCATTTGTAATTAATAATAAGTTTCCATGTCATAATTTGGAAGCTGGCTGGTGGGAAAGAGAAAGACTCATTACATACAATAGCATGCAATCTTTATTATGTATTTATTTGTTTGGTTGTTTGTTTGGTTGTTTGTTTGGTTGGTTGGTTGGTTTTTCAAGACAGGGTTTCTCTGTGTAATAGCTGTTCTGGAACTCACTCTGTAGACCAGGCTGGCCTTGAACTCACAGAGATCTGCCCACCTCTACCTCTAGAGTGCTGGGATGAAAGGTTTGTGCCACCACTGCCCAGTGCAATCTTAATTTTGGAAAAACAAATTTTGTGCACAAAAATCTGCTTAGTGAGTGTGTCTTGTGGAAGCAGACAAGGAATGAATCTATGAAATATTTATCAGTAATTTAATTGTGTAAGTTTTGGGACAGTGTTATCCTTGTGGGTTTGTAGAGGAAGTGGCTTATTTTTAACTTTTGTTAAATGATTTGAAACAGTATCATTTCTGTAATTATATTTAATAAAAGGGTTTTTAAACAGTGTGACTGCAGAAGTTCCTTTGACTAAAAGCTGGGGGTCCCATTCTCTGAGAAGGCAAGATTTGAACATATAGCTAGAAGTGTGGAAGCTGGAGATGGATGGAACATTCAGTAACTAGGGCCTTGGTTTTCTCAGCGAGACTGATCATCTGGTGAGAGAGACGTGAACTGATGTCAGCGAAGGTGGAGGTATAAAGAAGGGGCAAAGGCCAAGGGTAACATGTAAGCCAAGGACACAATTGAGACTCAGTGTGAAGTTCTCCTCTCCCTTTCAATCCCCCCCCCCATCACTGAGCCAAGCGGCTATATATAGAACGACCAGCAGGGGGCACCAGCAAACTGGGGAGAGAATTACTCGACGTGTATCTTGGTGATTGCCCTGGACCAGTGTCAAGCTTTTTAAAAGGGGACAGAAATACAGCTTTTTAAATAAAATCGTCCCAATAAAAGCATTGGCAACCAGTTAAATGTTGTTTCACCTACTGCGAAACCAAAGGAGACCTGTCAGCCTGTGGCAGAGGTGGCCCACGAGGGAAGTGAGAGGTGGTGCACACTTATTTTTCTAAAACTACTCTATAACCACAGGGCTTTGTGTTGTTGTTGTTGTTGTTGTTGTTGTTGTTGTTGTTGTTGTTGTTGTTGTTGTTGTTGACAGGGTCTCCCATGTAACCCAGGCTGTCCTAGAACTTGTGACCCTCTTCCCTCAGCCTCTGGAGTGCTAGATTACAGGTGTGTGTCCAGCTCTTCTTCCCCCTGTCCTGCATCTTTTAACTCACCTCAGCTTGTTTCATGGGAAAACAGTTCAGAAACAGAAGGAAAGTTATTGACCGAATGTGATGTACAAAATAGGCCTTAAAAAAAGCACGAAGCAGAAGTGAGGTTTTGAAGCCCGGGCTTCCAACAGGAAGTAGCCAACTCAGTCAGAGCCTGCCAGAGAAGGAATTCTGTGAGACACAGCCCAGGGTTCCCCAGAGGAAAGCCTGAGCTATGCCGAGGAGACAAAGGGTGGCCAATCAGAGAACAGCGACCAGCAGACTCCCTGTGGCCCTGCCAGAAGCTGCATTCGAATACCAACTGCAATGGGTCGGTCTCTGCCGCAATGACCATGTGACCAAGGTTTGTAGGATGTCACCAGAGGCTTCAGGTAAGCCTGTGCGGCTGAAGGGGTCTGAGAAAGGCTTTGACCCCACTGCACTGGATCAGTGAGCACAAGTGCCTGCGGCGATTCTGAGACCACTGACTGGAGAGCAGCCAAACCTCCCTTTGCCTGGCTGGAGGGAGGGGAGGGGAAGCCCTCCTTCCCTCTCTCCCCACCCCAGCCCCCACCCCGGGAGCCAGGAGAAGAGCGCAGTGACACCGAGGATGCTTGTGAAAGATCAGTTCCAGCGCTGGTGATTAACTTCCACGAATGCTTGTCTCTCATGAACAAGACCCCGGGTTCAATCCCCAGCACCGCATAAACTGAAGGTGATGGCACATGGTAGTGATGCTAACCCCTGAGAGGGGAAGGCAGGAGGATCGGAAGTTCAAGGTTATCCTTGGTTACAAAGCAAGTTCAAGGCCAGCCTCGGTTACATGAGACCCGGTCCCAAATGAAAGGGGGAATTGGGAAGACTCCAGTTACCCAGTGAACAGTCCAAACCCACACATGGGGCATAGAGTATGTCGGGCACCCAAAAATAAAATAAATTAAAGCATATCCTATTCTCCCTCCCCTACCTCCCTGCCTCTTCTTTAAAAACACTAAGCAGACACCACAAGCCACAACTCAGAAAGTGGACTCTCTAACAAGCCTTTTCTCAGTTCCCCCAGAGACAAAGAACACAGAACTTCTTCAGGGCCTTGCGGCATTTAGCCTGGCCCTGACTCTCTGAATAACCCAAGAAACAGAGAATACTGCAAGATGAAAAGGAATGGAGGCATCAGAGCTGGAAGGGGTGCTCTCTGGAATCAGAGGTCGGTCACAGAGCCAGGGATGGTATAAAAAAAAGCTATGGTCAGAGATTCCTAGAGATGGGCTCTGTGCTCTGGCCTTGTGCCGTAGAGATGGGCGGCTAGATGGGAAAAGAAGGACACAAGCTTGCTGCAAAGGTCACACAGAACGCAGTGGGTCATAGGATGAAGTAAGGACCAGCCAGTGAGATACCAAAGTTTAGTGGGAAGCCACAGAACCTTCCTTCCGGTGCTAGGCACGCAGTATAACGTATTCAGTTTACTGAAGGTCTCAATCCCAAGGCTGGACTTCCATCTAGTGTAGCCTGATAGCCATGTAATATTGAGCTCTGCGTGCGTGCGTGCGTGAGTGCGTGCATGCATGCTTCTTAATGTAGTGAAGCTCTGTAAAATGTGCTGGGAAACACACATTAGCTACTTCTCTCGCAACATGCTGCAGGAAAAGTGGGGGCCCCGTGTCCCCTACCGCTTCCTGTTGCACACACACTATAAATTAAACTTCTTTCCACTCATTCATCTAGTCATGTATGGGGACTAAGTCATGTATGGAAGGTTTTGCCTCCAGATCGCTGAAGGTGGGCATGAGCTAGCTGCTGGAGAGGCCATGCTGGACATTTTCACTTGCCATCCAGAATGAGGTTGCAGAGAAAGCTTTTATTCAACACGAATGTCTTTTTTAACTTTCCAGAGAAAATGAAATCAGGAATGATTTTTTTTTTAATCTTGCTTTCATTTTCCCTGTGCCAAACTAAGTATTCCTGAGAGAAAGCAGACCTTTTCAGGGAGCCAGGCTTCAGTGCTCCATGTCTCTATCTAATTCCGAGTGATTACTGTTTTTCCTACTGGGGGTGGCGGGGTGGGGAGGACCAGGCCCTGAGAGAATTCGTGTTGACTCCTAGCTAATCTTCGGTTTTACAAGCCGTTCCCCTGGCTTTTCTCTTTAACCATCTAAGTATCTGCTATGAAAATTTCTTTCCAAATGAA